GGGATTGACAAGCCCTATTTGCATTGGTTGCGAGGATTTATTTGTTTTGTGCGGGTACGAGGGACTCGCGCGTAGCCTCCTACTGGATTGATACATTGGTTCTCAAAAACTGAGGGAAATACTTACGCTACTTTGCTGCATCATCCCTTCCTCTTCGGGGAAAACCAACGTAGTGCTCAAGAGGTAGCAGTGTGTGCTATGTCTCTAGTAGTAACTGGAGTTCCAATTGCACTGGCATTATCAGTTCTTCCTTGTGGAACAAAACCTGGAGGAACTGTGTTTCTGTTTGTCCTGATGGGGGGTAAATTATGTAGCTGTATTTCTTCTAACTGTTTAGATTTTTTTTCTTTTTCAATTGCCAATTGTTTCCTCAATTGCTCTATTCTTTCTTCCTGCTCTTTTGTATGTTCTTGACGCAGTGTAGGAGATCGAACCACATGTGCGGAACTGGAAGGATTGTCCTATTGGTGCTCTATAGAGGATGATTTGACCAGCGTTTGCAGAACATTACTGATAGCAGATAGCTGCTTGCTCAAGTCCATAACCACTTTCTCAACTGTTCCCATTGTTGCTGAGATTTGCCCATGTTTAGCTCCACTAACCTGAGCTTCCTCTTGCAGTTTGGATACCTGATTCTGCATCTGGATGTTATCTTGTTGCAGAACGCCGAAATCATCGCGCAAAGAGAGAACCTCTTGGAGATCCGCATCATCGATCGCCTTAGAGCGCCCCATCACCTTATCTGAAGCGAGAGGTAGGAATTTTACCACTGGAAAAACCAGCAACCCGAATCTCACCTCAGCTCCTGCCACCGCCGCCGCGGCGATCCACGCCTCCTTGACATTCGGATCGGAGCTGAAACGCGGGATTTTACCGATCGAGCGATGTGCTCAACCAACTGCTCCCGCTCGGCCGATCTGTGTCCGAATTATCGCCGCCGCCAACGCCAGCCGACCACGCCCTACCGCCAGCTGCGCCAAATTTCTCCTTGCCGTTGTCAGAGAAGAGAAGAGGGTGGGACAAGGGTGGGATTCACCGCTATAGAAAAAAATTCTGCTTCTGCGCACGATTTCGCCGAAGAATCGAAGGCTCTGATTACCAATTTGTTAGGACCCGGCGAGTATTTGGGGAATTTTCTAAGAGTTTTGTATATAAATCTGAAACAGATCTTGTATGAGTAAGGGGGAACACTAGGGTTCTAGTATTTGAGTCATGACGGCGATAAGGGAATTCATCATAAAGCATATTCGTTCCAGCCACAACCGGGCTAGTTATAGGGGAGGGTTTTAACCCAAACGGGAAGAACAGTAACTCTCGGTTTACTACTGTTACAACGGTAATAATGCTCAACGGTTGAGATGAGTCTATCGCCACGGATTGATCCTAGCCGTTGGATAACTGAATCGTTACCTGTAGCTAACTGAACTATGACAGGTATATATCAAGGCCTGACACTGGGCCCGCTTGTCTTCTTGCCTAAGTTCCTCTTGCGTTCAAGGCTGCCGTTGCTTCAAGGGCCGTGGGCCGATGCCGATTGTACTATTCCCAGATTTTCCATCCCGTAGCAGAGATTGTTTTTTTCCTTTAAAAAAGAATTGTGGACCAGGCCCGGTACAGCACATATGGAGACAGACGAAAATATTATAGGATGGACGGACTAAATTATGGTGATAAAAAGCAATAGCTTTTTTATTAGTATGTATAGATGTATAGATGTATAGATATAGATTGATGACTATCTAGACGTGCGTTTGCACGATGCAACATTACTAGTAGTATTAAAAAACAAATCGGACAGGACCATACCTGGCCAACTGGGTCATGCCTGGCGGGCTGGCCCATTAGCACGCATGCCCAGCCCGACACATGGTTAATCGGGCTGTGCCTGGCCCATAGCCCATCTATGGCCGTGCAGGTTCGGCACGGCCCTTTTTATTTTTAATTTTATTTTGACATGCCAATGGGCCAACCCAATAGGCTGAATAATAGGTGAGCCGGCCCGTGAGGCAGGTTGTGTCGTGCCTGGGCCTGGGATGCGAGCAGGCGTACAGCCCCTGCACGTCCCGTATACTAGCCATGCCTGGTAGGGTTGTGCCATGCTTAGCTCGTTTAACTCTGGGCGGGTCGTGCCAGGCCAGGCCGGCCCATTTGGCCAAGTTTGGACCAGACCGCCAGTCTGACCGGAAAAACCGAGAACGGCACCTTGCCTGTTTTTTAAGGCGTACCGGTCTTTTAGTAAAAAAAACAAGAAAAATACTTTAAAAAAGGTGCATAAACAAGGAATCAAACATCTAACTTTGATGCAAGGCACACTAAAGGTGCATTTGAACTTTGTGATTTTATTAATGGTTTACATTCAATATTATGAGTATTAATTCGATTTGAGGTCAAAATTTTGAAAAAATACCTTAAATATTACGGTTTTTTGTCGCAAATGAACCGATTAACCGTTGGTCTGACCAGTAAAAATTTGAACCAGCAGTCTCACCGATTCGATAGCCGGTTCCTTTTTTAAACTATGGGTGGGTGTGTGATAGAGAGGAGGGGCCGGCTTGTAGACCGCCTCTGATGGGCCTTTTGGACCAAGCCCAAATGGGCCAGATGAGCCAAAACACTCCACAATTCGTTTGGTTTTATTAAAACATAAATTAAATAAATGGATAAATTTCAAATACTTAAAAGATTTCAAAAATCAAATAAAAATGATTATCATTTTTAAAACAATTCTATGGATTAAGAAAAATAGTACCATTAATTTTGGTCAACTTAAATTTAAAAGTTCAATTAACTAAAAATTACTCCCTCTATAAACTAATATAAGAGCATTTAGATTACTATTTTAGTTATCTAAACACTCTTATATTAGTTTACAGAGGGAGTAGATAGTAAGTAATGATAAATTTAAGTCATTAATAGAATCACTTAACAATTCAATAAAAATGGTTCCATAATTTTTGAATAACGTAGTTTTGATGAATTAGGAAACAAAAGTTGACAATAATCAGTATTAAATAAAATTCATTAATCAAATTCACTTATAAACCATTAGAAGGAGTTTGGGGGGAGAAAAGCCATGTCATCATATGCATATAATAACATATTACTGATTTCTTGGAACATTAGCCCTTATCGGACTATATATTGTTTTCAGAACCAGAGGCACCAGCTTATCTAAAAGTCTCGAGTTGCACTACTTATGTGTCACCACCTTAACTAAAATTTGCCAACATGTGTGTGCCTTGATTGCCTCTTCTTCGAGGGGTTAATCCGAAGGGGAGGACAAGGTAGTGTTATGAATGTGTAGGCAGGTGAATATACGATTAGCTTCCGATCCCTTTCATGTATGCTTTCTCTTCTTAAACCCAAAGTACTCACCCTTGCGACAACAACAACATGTGCAGGTCACAACTATACCTGAGATGCTGAGACATGACATTCCTACTTGGAGTACCCCGACAACAATGAGTAATGAGTAGACTAGCGAGACCCGCCCGGCAGCCTGAAACCAATCGGATGGGACCGTTGCTTTATGTTTCCGCCTCTTAGGCATCATTGAGTTTTGTCTGTACTCGGACTATTTGAGACTTCTGATGTGATGATGTTTGATCAAGTGGTCTCTCAGTGTAATAATTTGGATCTTGGCACTTGTATGCCCTATTCATATATATCTATGTTGCCTCTTTGGTAGTGGAAATGTTGTGATATTCTTCTATAGTCCACAACATATGACGGTGTGTGTATTATATGAGGTCATATGTTTCGGCGGTACTATATGCTCTTCTATTCTAGAAATGGATCAGATGGTCTATATTTAGAATAGTACTGCATATGGAGCCTTATAACTCGGAGAGTTCTCTCCTAACTAGTGGATGTTTGGTGATGGCAATGCAGTGATTGTATGGACATAAGGAGGGGTTTTGTCTCCCTTTGTGTGGTGGAGTGAAGAATTATCGGTGTTGGCAAGTTTCTCTTTGACCTTAAGGCGCCAAGCGCGCCATCGCACCATGTCGGAAAAAATGAGTAAAAGAAACCATAAGTACCCCTTTTTCTTTTCTTTTTGAAGCTAGACATTATTCTGCAGATTTTCGGAGCATATGCATGCATGGGTTGAAACCTTATCACTTCACTTATTGTACATGTTGGCAAGTTGGAAAATATTCAAGACATATATGTTGTGGTCATGGCACTAGCTGCTCTTACATCTAACATGCAAATTGCAGCAGTGAGCCTGGCTTGATTGATTGTTCAAATTTTAGATTTTTATCAGAAGGTGCAGATCCTACTGTATTTTTATCCGGTATTTTCAGACTTTCGGAATAACAAATGAGAAATCTCGATTCCTACTCACGTGTTACACTGAATATACAACGGTAGAAATTGGTGTAAATCTTCTGCAGAATAGTGGCTAGTTACCAAAAAGAAAAGAAAAAACTAAACCCCACTGTTGGCTTTGTTCTTTGCAGCAAGAGAACCTGGAAGGACCAGACAAACTCTACAAAATTCATTTCCGGCCATGACATCCAGAAATGACAATTGTTGCAAAAGAAAAGAAAAGAAAAAGGGTATTGATGATAATTAACATCCATTCTATCATTGGAAATATTAAAGGTTACATGGGAAATAGAAAGGCCTTAATTGATTAAAATCAATTCCTTCTGTGGGAAGAAAGCATATGAAGAATAATAATGGCTGGAGCTAGCTAGGTATTTCAAATATTAGTGCATGTGCATCAATTCATTGCTATCGTATCACAATGGGATTTACAATTATGTCAAACTAAACAAACCGTGCCGTAGTGAGACAGGGACAGAATTTAAATACAAAATTGCAGGTAGGCGGGGGTGCCAGAATAGACATTGATACAAAATTGGGGAGGGCAAGCGCCCTACAGAAAAAAAATTGCTAAGAATAAATCTTCACACAATAGAAGATGCTGCAAGGAGCTTGCGACAAGCTACCGTGATCACTTGGCATACATGCAAAGGTCCTTCGCGCATCGGTCAATTGCGTGACAGGTAAAAACGAGGTCGGTTGCAGAACTTCCTACCGTTCTTTTTGACATATAGTGCAATGCCAACGCACAGACCGGCCCACACAAGCGCTACCACCAAGTGGCGAAGATCATTCCGGGCTGCAAATTATGGTTCCACAAAGGCAACAGAATCAAGTTAGATGTCAATAAAGCACAACTTCTGGCTGAATACACAAAGGATGACAAAGACTGAATTAAACTTCTCCATGTAGGTCCGCTTTGGTTTGTGGGATTTTCGTAATCATTGCCAATTCCAGAAAATATATCAAATTCAGAAGCCAGAAACTTTACCTTGTCGTAGAGACATAAGCATGAACATAGCAGCGCAAAAAATCAATGCAAAAGCAACACGGAAGGACTGCAAAGGAGAAAACGTGCAAGTAAGATAACATTTGGTGCAAATGTTAGAACCAATCACTGCAAACTTGCAATGTCATACACAAAGAAGTATTGGCCAGTGAAACAGCTAATACCCACCTGCATAACTCCGGGTTTGCTTGGAAGCGCGGCGTCCCGACTAACTGATGATACGTAATGTCCTTGAAGAAGGTCCATGGCATCCTAGAAACAACACAATCGAAACAAACCTCTATCTGAGAAGGGCTGGAAGATGCAGGTCACAGATCGATCCACCTGCCTGATTTGTAATGCATATTTTTCAATGCTTTTGTATAAAATATAAATTATTTTTTACAAGTATAAAAATATGCACCTTTATTATATATGTAATAATGGTACAATACTTTGTAATTTTAGCTGATGACAGACTTATACATTATTCTTTGTCAGATCTAAAACCTGCCCTCACTAGCCCAACCATCGATGGTGAACTCCAACTCAACCCCGCCACGTTGTGAACTTATTTTTCTATTCACTTAAGTTGCATGCATGCAAAGACAGCAAAAATACCTGCTTGGTACCATCTGCAAAGTTGTTGAAGTAGTATCTAGCAAGTGCATTCCACAGATCATTAAAAATTCCCTGAGTAGTCCGTTTCCCATACCTAATAGACAAAACCAAATCTATAAATATGGACAACTTAAGAACAAGAAATAATGAAAACAGACAACATTCTTTTCCTTGGAAGATCGAACATGAAAAAGAGAGATATATGAACGTAAAGCTGAAAGGCCACAAAAGAGTGGGAAAAAAAGATAATACAATGTCTAGATGCATCAGTATTACTTTCCAAATTAAGTGATCTTTTCAGTTTTACAGATCATTTTTCTCCAGATTGAACTGATGTCGGTTATGTTTAACAGTAGACATTTTGGAGGTGAAACAGGAGAAGAGATTTACTGCACCAAATGTTACAGCATCTTAAAACCTTGAATCGAACAAAAATAGCAGCTCGGTTGTGACTCAAGGTGGCCAGAATTACTAGTGTGCTTAAAATAGTAAACCCATTTGGGGAAATGAAAAGGGAGGAAATAAAGATGCTGACAGTTGTTACAAACACTTCAAAAAACAAGTGAATGCTGCATTCGCTTTATAGAGATTACCGGACAAAGTCTCCCTTCAGAGCAGGAGTGCCAGAGTACTGAGTGCTTATTGCATCTCCATGATTTGCCCACACTGCAAATGGTTACAGCAACATTGGTCAAAGACAAATACAGGGGAAATATAAGTAGGAACCATGGTTAGAGAATATCAAACATAATACTCACAAACTTTGTAATCTGCATCGAAAGCTGGGTAATTGCTGATTGTATCGTTACCACCAAAAACTCCTAGTTGTTGGAGCTGGCTTTCAAGAGTTTTTCTTCCAACCATGCTCTGTTTAAGCATTGTCGATGTTTTCAATGTTCATTATGCAGATCAAGATATAAGATCAGAGAAAATGCAATCTTTAATGATATGTTTAAGCAATGCTGGTGTGATGTAATTTGTTTATTTAATGAAATAAGTTGGATCGCTTTCTCAAAAAAAATCAGGTCAAGATGGAAGGTAAGAGAAAATGCAATATCTAAAGAATGTCAATCCGATAATGGTTTGTCAGAGAAAGATGGGCTAACACACAAATACTTTGAGACTGATGTGGCCCATAAGATTTGCAATTGGATGCAAGTAAGGCACGTAATCTGGCTGCAACAGTACGATATTTTGTTCTAGCACAGACCATCATCAAACGAAACATATGGCTCAACCTAAACAAGCTAATCGATGTAGCTCATGCTAGTTTAAAATTTGCATATACGAAAAAATATAGTGTTTGTGGTTAGCTTAGATGAGCCCATTGATACATAATTAGACACCCTCTATAAAAATACCTAGAACAAGTTCAGTGTTAACTTCTGTATCTTCTAAAAATGCATCTAGGAGGTAACACTGAAAAAAAAAGGAGAATGAATAGGCCTTACGCATCTAAATAGAATATCACACTATATAGATTCCAAATGAAGCAGAAACAACAAATGATAGCACAACAAGAGATTTTGTTAAAGAAGAAAAAAAAACATGACCGCCTTGTACTAGAGTTTGTACCTGAGTTACATTAGTACGATCTAAGCAATCGACACAATTTGTTCTGACAGTGCCAGTCTGCCCCACCATTTTCTTGCCTTGATCATCCAAAAGGAAGTACCTATACCACAACATTAGTAATACCATGGAGATGGAAGCAATTATAAGAAAAATAAAGAACATAGTACGCTCATCATCATTAGTATTGCTTTCGTGTCAAATACATTGATCAAATATAACACTTTAGTAGCAAGGCAAAGAAATCCAGGTTAAACAACTGTAAAAACTAGAAACAGATAACAGGAGCAGGTGTAGTCGAAGAAAATTAACATCAAGCAGTAAAACATGTAAAACTTCATTTCTTATCTCTGAGGGACATACTTATGCTTCTTAAGATAATCCTCAATTTGATCATACAACTGTGAAAGGCGCTCAAAATGAATATGACCACATATTTTATGGAAGTCAAAATGTATGAATCTGCAGTAAGTAGACAATGTAGCACAATTAGGAACAGACAACCACAATAGGAGAAATCTAAATTGTGGAAAATGTGACCTTATATCTTCAGTGAGAATAGGCTCAATCGATTTTGCATATCTTTCATACAGGCGGCCTTCACCACCAGTCTGAATATAGGAATACGAAAAGAGAGTAAATGCACATGGAAAACAGAGTAAGCTACTATCAGGCCAACAAACACCCATACACTGAAATATAAATATGAAAGGCAAATCTGTCAACAAAGTTTTCGCCAAAAAATAGCTAGATCATTCATAGGGAACAAGCTGAACGGAGTTACTAGTTCCATTGGAAGGAGTGAAATATGCACAACCGAAGATACAATGGTGGCGTGCAAAACAAATATGCGAGATTATTCCTAAATGAGGAATTCTGAATCTGCTATTGTAAAAGAGACACCCTTATGCTGGACCACCACCCAAAAAATTCTAGCACTTCGTGAGTCCAACAGTTCATTACTTACTGTATTGACAAGATCAATACCCACGACAGCTCCATATTTCTTTTGTAAATCATGAAAGTGTCGCTCAAGCACACGAGCCTGCAGAACAGAGACGCAACACAAATTAGGATGAAAAAAAGGTTACGCCAAGGCTGCATTATAGTGCAAAAATCAACAATGCTTATTAGAATAATATCAATGCCCTGAAGGGAAGGAAAATAGAATAAAGATAGAATTGACAGAACTCACCGCCTCCTCCACTCTAACAATGTCAAAACTAGGTTTATATGTCAAATCAACTATCTGCTCCCACAAAAAAGGCATAGAACCTCGAACCTGCAATATATAGTAGTTTCATTGAGTTATCCAAAAACATGAAAATAACACAGTAGTACCATCTGAACATGGTGAAGATCATTGTACCACTTAAGGACTTTTAGCACACAGACTAAAAGAAAGGAAACCAAAAGACCAAAAGAGAAGAGAAATAAAAAACATTTAATCAACTATTAGTCTAGCCAGTGATTTTCATATTGTTTACTTAGAAACCTACTTGTACATAGGATGCTGTATATCCTTTTGTTTGCATTATCTGCTCTGATTCAACAAAATTTGCTGCATAGCCCTCTGGATCAGCACCCCGTCTCCAACACCGTGTACCTTCAGTTAACAACATCCGCTTAATTTTTTAATTAACCAAAAGGTATTCAATTTCTAAAAACGGAAGGCCAAGTACAAATTGTTAAATACTGAAATTAGTTTAACTCAAAAATAGTGAAGAACTCATTATCAAACTTATTTTGATGCTTCAGAACTCTCACCTATCCTTCTTGTGCACCTGCGTGCAATCATGGTTACTACTACTTTATCTGATCCAACTTCTGCATGTATATTCTGAAAACCTGACATTTAGTTAAGTTACAGCAACTCAAATTGATATAACAAATCCTAATCGAATAGGTAATTTAAGTCTAAACTAGCAATACTCCATCTGTTTTCAAAATAGATGACGTCCTAAAAAGCGTACAGTCTAACCACCAATTAACAAATAAAATGGGAAATTTTGACCAATGCCACTATTCTCAAACCCAATTCAGCTTATGACATCGTTTTGTTTGCAAATTACACGAATGCCACTATTCTGTTGGAGGCTATTTTATGTTTGCCACAACATCAGTTTTTTTCCCTGATTAACACAGCCAGCCCCCTTTGACTGGCCCCGCCTTTCAATTCTGTTGGACATATGGTAAATAGTAGCATAAGGCACATAAGTATACATGTGGTCAAGGTTTTAAAACTTTGACCACTAATATATATGCGGAAGTACATGGATTGAGCATGCAATCTTGTATTTGTCTTGCGAAATACTTTTATGCCATATGCCATTTTACTAATTTTGTAGGTATTATAAGTACAAAGTCATAGTCAAACTCGTTTGTTGGAGATTGTGAGCATGGTATGATATTTTGGGTAGTGCGAAGGAGTATATCAATGAGCAAAGGATACTTCCTTGAATGACCGGTAATAAGTATTGGTCCAGCTGTCAAGGAAAAAAAAGGAAATCAAAATTCTTTACAAATATTGGATCTGATATTCTTAAAACTGGAAATTACAAAAACAAAAAAAAGTAATCTTACTTTGTTCTCAATGAGAGGCTCCAACAAGTAACCATTCCACATAAATCTACGTTCTGCCTGCAAAGAATGTAGTAAATTGGTCTGTGCAGAAGAGTTTGTATTCACATGTTGAAAGGAACATTTAGCAAAGGAAACCATTCGGAAAAACCAGCTATGTAGTACTACGAGCACACACTTTAGACATATACCATCAAAAGAAACATCATATACCAAAGCCTAAGTGTAAAGCCAGCCATAGTTACATGCCACAATTACAGTTCATGTTGTTTTGTGCAAATTTGTATTACAGCTTACATTTATGGTCATTAGTTTGTTTAGTCATTCAAACTTTTCTGTAGACATTAAAACAATGAATATTCTATACAGCATAAGTGTAACTTACTAGCCAAAGATGCAACAAGGAGAACGTCGAAATTCCTACCTAGCATCACATGTACTACCTCCATCTCAAAATATAAGACTTTTTGTAGGCTAGTTTAGCCTACAAAAATGCCTTACATTTTGAGACTGAGGTAGTAGTAGATTACTCTCTACAATGGGAAAAGGATTGGCCGTCCCATGTGTAAAAAAGCTCTAGCCTACAAAAACGTCTTACATTTTGAGACTGAGGTAGTAGTAGATTACTCTCTACAATGGGAAAAGGATTGGCCGTCCCATGTGTCAAAAAGCTCCAGCATTACATGAGTATAAGGCAACAAACCTGTCTCCAAAGTGGAAGTGCTTTGAACGTGTCCCCAAGATCATATACCCTCTGTAAACTGCAACAGAAGGGATAAAGGTAAGTGTCATTCAGACTTGCAATGACAAGAGAACTGAATTAAAATAAGACCATAGGATGGCTACATCCATACTGGGAGAAAAATTGCCATCCATTTTGCTAGGCCAATTACATGTTTTCTTTGAAACTCCATGTACCATTAAACGACAAAATGCATGTAACAAAAAGGAATCATATACGATACCCACGTAAGTGTCAAGTTGGCCTCATAGGAGAAGTACAGGCCTATACTCCTCTCTGCAGCATCCAAGAGGTCTGAAAATTCGCTCTCCATCTTTTTCTGGTAACATCATTCTACAATCATTACATGCCATACACATATGGAAACAGCATAACTGGGAACAAATTGACAATTGTCGGAGTCGGACCTGCTCGGCCGAAGATGCGGTAGTGCAGGGGAGAACTTTTAGTCCTGTAACTTTGAAAACAGCATGTCCCATGTAGGATCCGACGCAATCACGGTCAGTGATGACCAGACAACATGATCCAACTGCAAGCTTGAGCACTCCTACCACACCAAACACTATCCTAACTTTTGGGTTTGCCGAGGGGCCACGCGGTGGCAACTCTTGCACTAGGTTCATAGATCCATTGGTCCGGCTAACTGAGAGGAACAGGTCAGCAAGGCCATCAACCGGTTCAAATACATAACGGTCTGCAAACTCCCACACCCTCAGCCTCGTGTGCAGTTTCGGTGATGGAGATGCATCCTTTGGCGCATCCATTGCAGGGTACCCTGGAGTATTATTAAGCATGGTGAATCTTTTGAACAGTAGAGATGTCACAGACTAATGCAGCACAGCAGCAGATATGTTCAGCTTAAGAAATGCGATGAGGACAATTATGCTAGAACGACAGTGATGCAAAAAGTGCAGAAAAAAGGAACTTCCTTTTCCACTCAAAGCTTGTCCCGTTCCAGGTCCACCATACGATTACTCCTGGTTCAGGTTCAGAGTATGCCACCAAAAAGCTATCCTAGTTTCGCATTTGCTGTTTTGACCAGATTATTAAGCGAATGCTGTGAAGGCCTACAGAGACGTAGCTACTCCCTATGTAACTTAATATAAGACGTTTTTTGACAGTGTCCTAGACTCTAAAAAAGTCTTATGAAAAGTTAGAGGAAGTACTTTAGTGTTTTAAACGCTCTTATATTTCTTTACAGAGGAAGTACTGTACAAGATAGCTTCCGCAATAACACTGGATTTTGTGTTTTTCCAGAGCAGAAATTTCAACGAGTTTAACAGGCAAAAGTTATATCCTCTGCTTCATTACTGCCTCCGTAGTCTGCTAGCAGTAGTACTGTTACATGTTGGAAAGAAGAAGAAAAATCACATTGTGAGAAGATAAAAAGCAGCAGCATTTATGCCAAACTGTCTTCCTCCAGCCAGTGGGGGCGAGCCAAACAAAATGCAGCTCCTCCTCCCAGACTTAATGACTTGAACTAGTAGCGCGAACCCGGAAATGAAAAGGCAGCGGAGCATCCGGGACAACCCAAGAAGAAACCGTGCTGGATTACACGGTCTTCCAAGCGGCGGACGCGGGTCGGGAATTCCGTCGAACAAGTAAGGGGCATGAAAGACGGCCATGTCCTTGGGGTCACCAATGCCGGCCGGCCGGCACAAGTGTATCAATTCAGGAACACCGCAGATGCAGCGAATCGTCGGTCGGAGCGGCCAATCGTCGATGCCGAACGTAGGCGCACGCAGCCTACCGACAAGGAAGGGAACCCGGCTACCTTGCCCGACGCGAGAGAGACCTGGCATTGGGTCGTTACCTGCGAGAGCCGAGCGAGGCGACGGGGACGATCA